GGAACAGGGTGAAAGAGGGTTGACAAAGTACACAGAGAAACAGATGGACTACAGTCTGTAATTGTGGAACTACAAAGCGCACCTATATGGCAAATGGAGCTGATAAAATGGACAATGATTGTAGGAACAAGGAGATGTTTTTTGTATTATGGCTGGTCAGTGTACGTACCATGAGCCAGAGTGTCATGTCCGTAGTCTTGGAAAGAGAGCAGCAAACAATAAGAATTGTCGTCAAACAGATTTCCAGCGCTTGATCTGTTCATAAATACTGAAGTGTTGCTTTGTGAATATAGTTTTAATGCTTATGCATGTTTTTTTGAAGTACTTATGGAGTAGTTCAAAACTTCTTAAAAATTTCAACACGTCATTTTGATAGCAGTAACCATTTCCAAGAAATTACTTTAAATTGGAAAAGGACTGAACAAAATTATGCAATCAAATTCTTTTATGCACTTCCTCAACCTTCTAAATGAACATTCTTCTCTAGAAAGACTCGCTGCAATGTTAGATGTAATATCCAGTCCTACCAAGAATCCTTAGCTCCTTTTCTTCAAAGCTGTTTTTGAATGTCTTTCAAAAATCAAATAATAAGATTGTAAATGTCAGTCACTTTAATTTTCAGGATTCCTAATGCTCTAACTCATCCTCATGGTGAGTGCCACACATTACACCTACACATTACATCTACAGGAGCTTTTATGACATCCCATTCTAAATCCATATGCATTAATATGGAGTTGGTCCCCCCTTTGCAGCTATAACAGCTTCCCCTCTTCTGGGAAGCTTTCTACAAGATTTTGCAGTCTGTGGGCATTTTTGTCAGACACTGATGTTTGACGAGAGGGCCAGGCTTGCAATATTTGTTCTAGTTCATCCTAAAGGTGTTCGATGGGGTTGAGGTCAGGGCTCTGTGTGGGTCAGTCAAGTTCTTCCACACCAAACTCACCCAGCCATGTCTTTATGGACCTTGCTTTGTGTACTGGGGCTCACTCATGCTGGAACAGAAAAGGGCCTTCCTCAAACTGTTCCCACAAAGTTGGAAGTGTACAATTGTCCAAAATGTCTTGGTTTGCTGAAGTATTAAGATTCCCCCTCACTGGAACTAAGGGGCCTTGGAAACCCCTGAAAAACAACCCCATAGCATCATCCCTTCTCCACCAAACCTTACAGTTGGCACAATGCAGTCAGCCAGGTAACGTTCTCCTGGCATTCACCAAACCCAGACACACACAGATAGAGAAGCGTGATTCATAACTCCACAGGATACATTTCCACTGCCCCCCCTCCACCTTGTTCAGCTTTGTGCATTCTGATCTTATGCTTCTGTGTAGCTGCGCAGGATGAAAACCCATTTCGTGAAGGTCCTAATGTACAGTTCTTTAGCTGATGTTCCTTCCAGAGGCAGTTTGGAACTCTTTAGTGAGTGATTCAGCAGAGGATAGGCACTGTGCCCTTCAGCACTTGCCAGCCCAACTCTGTGAGTTTGTGTGGTCTACCGCTTCGTAGCTAAGCTGTTGTTGCTCGTAGATGATTCCATTTCACAATAATAATAAACTCACTTGTGGCAGAGGTGACATCCTATGACAGATTCATGTTTAAAGTCACTGAGCTCATTGGTGCAACCCATTCTACTGCCAGTGTTTGTCTATCGAGACTGCAAGACTATGTGCTTAATTTTATCTACCTGTTAGCACTGGGTGTGGCTAACACACCTGAACTCAATAATTAGGAGGTGTGTCCCAATACTTTTGTCTACATAGTGTATATGTAATGTATGTATATATACACATTTCAAAAGGAAAAAAACAAGCTTCTCTTTGTAATCACACTGATTTCAGAATGAAATGCTGTTAAATAGTGGAATTGGTTTGCTCAAAGGATTTTGTTCAAATAATTGGTTGAATCCACATCCTTGTCAGTTCACAAAGCCAACATTAGTGTCTGTTCTGTTCCATGGTAGTAATATGTAACAGAAAATCTTGTTTTTGTTTCATAATTTCTTCAGAAATGGTCAGGTATATGACAAAGGCAATGGCTATAAAAACCTGTAGGTTTGTAGCCTCCCCCAAACTGAAGAGAACCCAGGAACCTATATATATAAGATATATTTAGTTCTTCATTAGGAAAATGTGGACTTATCAGTGTTTGATGTACTTTCAAACAATTTCTGTAGATAAAGGTAATGCAATTGCAATTGAACAAACCTTGAGAGAACCAAGGCTCTAAAGGGGAACCCATCCTCCTCTGGTCAACACTGGATAGCAAAACAGTAACACAGTGAACAGAGAATAAGGTTGTGCCATTAGTATAAAATGTTAAAATACAGAAAAGGGGAAAAGCAGTTGAAGCAATGGCTATGATTAAATAGTTAGAGTCTGTGCAGCAGCAGTATCATCCGGAGTGTCAGTGGCATGCAGGTAAGGTTTGCACAGTGATGTGCAGTAGGAAGCTCCATGGTGGTCCAGAAGGCAGGTGAGTAGTGGGCACCTTCTAACTAGCAGGAAAAACTAATTACCAAAGGCTTGACTAAACAACTAGGTTTTCAGCCTCTACATAAAGACTAAGGCTGTGTCTGAGTCTTGAACACTGACTAGAAGATTATTTTAAAGCTGGGGGGCTTTGTATGAGAAGGCTCTACCCCCACCCCAAATAATTCAACTTTGGATTCATCTGTCCAAAGCACATTGTTTGTTCCAGAAGTCCTGGTCTTTGTCTAGGTGTTCTCTGGCAAACTTTAGTCTCGCCCTTATGTTTTTTTGACAGGAAGGGTTTCCTCCTTGCACACCTCCCATGAAAATCAAACTTGTGCAATCTCCTTCTGATGGTAGATGCATGTACTTTGACATCAACTGAGCAAGAGCTGCCTGTTGGTCCCATAATGACATTTTAGCATTGTTGGAGATTTCTTTACGCATCTTGCGTCTGCTCTTGGGCTGAACTTGCTAGGATGGCCTGACCTGGCCATGTTGGCAGTTTTAAATGTTCTCCACTTGTAAGTTATTTTTGGATAGTGGAATGGCTCATTTCTAATTGTTTTGAGATCTTTTTACAACCATTCCCAGACTTATATGCATCTACAACCTTCTTTCTTGAAGGCCTCAGAGAGCTTTTTGGATCTCGCCATGGTGATACCACTCTCTTCAACAATCAAGAGCAAACCAAACTCAATGTCTGAGGTTTAAATAAGACAGGCTCTTCCAAAATCCTCTCTAATTATGTTTTTATCACTTGCAGCTCATGTGGTGCAACTGATTCGAATTTTAAGCATTTTAAGTAGTAATAAATGTGGGGGGTGTCCTAACTTTTTTCATCACAAGAAAATTGCATTTCCATTAATTACATTTTACAAATTATTTTCAAAGAGATTTGTATTTGTTTAGTTATATTACCTCCATTTTTCAGTATTGTCAAATGAAGACCAAATGTCCATATGTTTAAACATGCTAAAAAAAACAGGTTTAAAGGGGTGTCCTCATTTTTTGTATATTGGGATTGTGTGTGTGTGTGTGTGTGTGTGTGTGTGTGTGTGTGTGTGTGCAATCACATTGCTTTAAGAATAAAATGCTGTTAAATAATTGAATTCGTGTAAATTTGTACAATACTGTAACAATGTGTAATACCATAGAATGCATGTAAGAATTGCATTTTAGTTTGTGGTGAAACAGCTGTTTTTACAAGTCACAACTTCTTCATTTCCTAGGCTTTTTTAAAGGAAGCAGTTCAGAAAAAATAGAAACAGGATTAGCGTGTTTTCGTGTTCCTTACAACCGACAAACACCCACACATACACATGTATGCAAAAGCAAAGCAGCATTGCTGGTAAAGTGACATTTTTGTTTTTACAGTCAAGTTTTCAGGAGTTTCGCAAGGAGCATATTTTGTACATGATGACGAAAAGAAAGAGTTGTTGGCCTATACAGGGCAATGAGACCTATGTGGCATCTCAAGGCAGCCACCTGACAGTTATCCTGTCTTGGGCCTGTTTTTCAAATATTATCTACCCAATAGTGACAATGAAAAGACTACATGCTAAATTACTAGGAATGAGTGGCACCTGCCCAAAAGGGGTAGATACCATTTTGCTTCAGCTTCTTTCAAATCTGAGCAGGATGATCAGTATTCGAATGGCCTCTCTTACCAGTCAGAGATTTGACTTCACCACTGGTCTTGATCATAAAGACCAATTATTTATTTGTTTCAGTGACCGGGGTTTTCACACTGGATGCTGGAGGTTATTTTCATAAGCTATTCAGTCCTGGTGCCTGGTGATTGTTTGAAAAAAGATGAAAGATTTCAGTACCCAGTGTTAGTCAAGTGCTTTTGCATTCCATTGCATGACAAGATCAGTGCACACAAGTTATTCTCTGGGCATTACGAACTGTGAGGCTTCAGTATCAGCTGCAGTAAATCTGTTCTGTTGACTAAACCCGGATTCTTACTTTTGGAGCAAATACTTAAAGATTAGCACAAAACGTATTTGAACGTTTTATTGTAACAGAGCATACTGAATTTTAATAAATACTCCAGCATTTCCCAACCTCATCTATCTGCCGCATCTGTGGTGTTATCATGGAAAATTATTTCTCTGTACTTAGAAAAGAACAGGAAGCATGTTGTCTTTAAACATACTTATAACAGAAGCCAATGACAAGGTGTTTCAGCATTTGCCCATTTACTTCTATTATAAGTGTTTTTCAGTTCAGTGGGTTTTCTGCTCTTTTATGAAAGGAATATGACAAAATTATTGTCCATGGCAGACAAAGATTAGACAAAAATTCTACAGTAATTCTTTACAAGCATAGTATAAAATAGCTGTTTATTGGTTGAATCCACACCCTTGTCAGTTCACAAAGCCAAAGTTAATGTATATTTCGTTCCATGGAAGTGTTACGCAACAGAAAATCACGTTTTTGTTTCGTAATTTTTTTAGAAATGGGCAGGTACATATGGCCCATGGCTATAAAAAACCTGTAGGCCTGATGCCTACTTCAAACTGAACAAAAAAACAGGAACCTCAACTTTCTCTGCCAGTTTTTCTCAAGAAAACCCTATAAGGTGAGATGACTTTTACTAAATCTCCTTTCAGCTACAGTCTTTTCACCTTCATTTTTCAACTCTCTTCCCCACTGACACCACATGATATTTTGTGTAGACCACAAAATATTGGTTTATTGGATGTTGGTATACTTCAGCTACAATCACCAGACAAAGCCTGAAATTGGTTGTGTTGTTTGTGTTCGGCTTCTTTTTCACGGATACTGGAGTATATTCCTGTTCTATGCATTAAAGACATACTGTAAAACTGGTAAAATATTTCTTCACTTTTTAGTTGCACAGGTGCCCTAATATATATAATACAAAAACATTCCTTAACTTAAATGATGTATTCAGATAGGTATTGTAAATGAAGTGGAAATGAAATAAATTTAATGTTTTTGAAGCAATGCTTGAAGAAATGTTTAATTGTTGCTTTTTTATTCTTTTGATTTGTTTTTAGCTTTAGAAATAAGTTTTCAATCAGGACCTCGCTCAGTGAACCCCTCTCAATTCCCAAAGCTATAACATGTGAATTGTATTATGTCTTCCAATTTTTGGTCTTGACAGCCATGGAGTCCAAGCCCACTGAAATGGCTGCTCTTGGAAGAGCCCTGTGTCTTGGGATGTTATATGACTGCCGCAGTGATTCCTTCATTCCAGGTAGTGTTAATATGATCTTCGCCATGTTGTATATGTTACAGCACTTTTTTCAGAACATGGTGAAAGAAACAGCAATATTACATATTTCATATTACCACTGTTAAATATGTAAATAAGTGTAATCACAAACCATGATTGTCTCTTTTCTGAGCCATTTGTCCATATCACTGCATGTATAGGAATGCACCTTGCTTGAATGCTGGTGTCAACTGAGACAACAGAGGCAACAGTACATTTTTGGCATATATTAACTATCCTTGTATAAACCTGTTTACATCATAAACAAAAAAGTGGTTTAAATGTGCGTGCACTTTACACTGTACACTAAAGTGTAGAATGAACTAACCTACAACTTGTAAATGTGCCTGTTTAAAGGAAATAGTATGAGAAATAATATATAGCACAAAAAAGTTTTTTGAAACTAGGAGTTCTGGCACATTAGATTACTGTAGGAATGGGATGAAAAAAAACAGACAAAAAGAGGAATAGAATGAAGGGCTATAAGAGGAGTATGAACAGTAAATGCATCCATGTGTAAGTATAACTCTATACTATGCAAGGTCTTAAAGGAGAGTTCCACAGAAATGGTTAAGATGTAAAGTCATTCAGAGTGGTTTAATGTGAAATGTTCCATTCTAGAGAAATTCACTGAGTCAGAATTGTTCACAGTGGTCATGATAAAAGCATGTATTACCTCATTTATTACTTAATTCTCCCTCATAGAAAGTTATTACACAAAATAGACACAAATATGTTTTCTGATGTCTGAGACAGTTTCATAAAAGTTTTGAGATAAGGTTTTGGCCTAAAAAAACCTAAGCCCATTTCATGATGAACTGAAAAAATACAAATTAATTGTTCTCAAAATTTTTATATATCAGATAATACATAACTATTACATAATATTTATTACAGTTATACACATACCTAGATAGACTGTATGCCTAACCAGATTAAACCTCTGGGCTAGTGTAGCTCTCAAGCTGTTCAATGCCATGCCAAGGCAAAACCAGCTTATTTGGGGATGTCATTAACTACAAAATGATGCACAACCTCAGAAGTATAATGAAACATAGATAAGGTTAAGTTTCCTTCTCCTTTTAGGTATTACTTTGTGGAATAAGGATTCATTTAAAAAGGATCTGTATGAGTCCTGGCAACCCAAAACAGATCTGAAGTTCTCTGCTTCTGACTCTCTCTCTGAGAAGGCCAACTTCCTGGATGTGAGTGCATCCCTGAAAGCCAGCTTCCTCGGGGGGCTAGTGGAGGTGGGAGGCTCCGCCAAGTACCTGCGTGATTCAAAATCCTCAAAGCATCAATCTCGGTGTACCCTGCTGTACAGCCAAACCACAAAGTTTGAACAACTCACCATGACCCAGCTGGGCCGTATTACCTATCCTAAGGTGTTTGAACAGAAAACGGCCACTCACGTTGTCACAGCCGTGCTATACGGTGCTCGGGCTTTCATGGTGTTTGATCACATAGCCTCAACAGTCGAAGACCAACAGAAGGTGGAAGGAAATGTTAATGCAGTGGTGAAGAAGATCCCCTCCCTCTCAATAGAAGGACAAGCAGATTTAAAAATGAATGACGATGAAAAAAACTTAGCTGAAGAAATCAGCGTCACATTTTATGGTGACTTCCACCTGGAGAAAAATCCAACGACATACAAAGAGGCCCTTACAGTGTATGCAACATTACCCTCTCTGCTGAACGATAAGGAGAATTTTGGTGTGCCAGTAAAGGTGTGGCTCTATCCCCTGGTGTTGTTGGATCAAAAAGCAGCAGCATTAATGAGAGAAATCAGCACAAGCCTGGTGTCTAAAACAGAACGTATAGTGGAGCAGTTTGGAGAAGTAGAAAGGAGATGCAACGACTTAGTCGGGAGCAGAACTGTACAGGACTTCCCTGTCCTGAAAACCAGGTTACAAACATTTCAGGATTATTACAGTGACTATAAGGTAGTGTTCCAGAAGGCACTGTGCAGGGTCCTGCCTGATATTCGGGGTGGGGAGAAAGAAGAGCAGGCACTGGCTGAGATCCTTGACATCCACAACAAGGCCCCCTTCACAGCTAACAAGCTGAACGAGTGGTTAGAGAGCATTACAACTGAATTACAAATACTGAGCTCCTATACCAAGGGACTGAAGGACATCAGAGTTCTTACATCCATAGGTCAGCTCAACGCTATCCTCTTTGATCCTGAGATCGATGTAGTTGTGTGTTTGGCCTTCACCTCTCTGACTGACAAAGACAAATTCCTAGAAACTCTAAATGAATTCCTCAGCTCTGAGGACTTCAAGAAGTTGGAGAATGTAAATGCTGAAGAACAGAATCTTTCTTCACAGATGCCTTGGTTCACCTCTTTTGATATTTCACAGAACATGAGAGAGAACCTTTCTCTCTTTAAAAGTTTTTCGAAAGCCAACGAAGACAATGATAGAATTCAGTTCGTCATAGCCTCCATCCCTGAACCCAGAAATCCAGGCACCTCTATCCATCTTTATGAAAAAGGCAGACTCACAGATTTCAAGTTCAAGCCGGTGTCCAAGCCACCCCCACCGACACTGGATGGGAGTGAATCACTGAAGCTTCAGAAGTCCCCGACTGGAGAGACAGTGAGCTATAGGGTAGAATACAGACGGATAGATGCTGCAGATGCTGAAGCTAAAACTGACCAAGAAGAAAAATGGGAGAACAGAGACACTCCAGATGCACAGGAAACATTCACGCTGACGGGACTGCAGCTAGGGGACCAATACTGGGTGCGTTACAGAGCTGTCAGTAAAGTGGGAGTGAGTGAGGCAAGCGAGTCAATTCGCTTTATACCCAAAGCAACAAAAGACCCAAGTTCTGATGGTGAGTGCACTGGAGAACACTGTTTCCCTTCTTTACAACAATATAGAAGTATAAAGTTGGAATTCTTCTTTTTCACTTACTATGAAGGAGAACCAGTTGTTAGAGACCTCTCCAAATTCATGAACACGGCTCCAGGAGCAAAGAACTGTAGGTAGTAAGCCAGTGGATTAAGTTAAATAACTAATAAATAAGTAACAAGCTAGTGAAGAGTTAATGTTTCTCTAAAGAATGTATAAGAATGTATGTTTTCAAAAGTCATAAAACTGATATAATGTGGCAGTGCTGTCTTAAAAAATCAAATAGAATATGGCTTTAAAATTATTAAAATATTTTACAGGTTTTAGAGATTATATCGAGCGTTGTCTTGGAGATTCTGGCTGCGAGCTCTTGACTCAATAGGGCAACATGGCATTGAGGGAGATCAAGGTTTCAGTTGGCCAAAGTTGGGTCAGTACAGACTTTTTCCATTTTGTGTCGTGTCTTTCCTCTTTTTACAATTATACGTCAAGCAAATGTACATTTTACAGCAGGCCCTGGCATTTTTACTAGTAGCACACATTCTGTAAAAATGATTATGCTTGTTTTGAGCATTCTTTTATATACAATAATTTTTAGCAGCTCAGTTTCCAAACACATGAATGCAGAGGATGTGTATTTTCATTTAGAAAATCAACAAAGCATTTTGCATAGATTCCCTTACAACTGTATCTGTAGTATGTTCCTCATATTAGTAAATAGTAAGCAATTTCTAAGACCTACGTCTGTGTAACCCTCTCTGGTGGAGATGACAGGAATGACCATGAGTGCACATTGTGCTAATTACGCTAATGCACAATTATCCATAAAGGTCACACAAAAGGGGGTCTTTTCTGGTAGATAGTGGTTTTGGAATGTAAACTTTTTAAGAGCATGGCTTATAATCATGTTATGCTTTTTGAATAAATATTTATGATAGTTAATAGGTTGTTCAAAAATTAAGGGGTAACACTTACTTTACTTTATGTAGCAAAAGAACATAAAGTTAATAAGTTACAACTACAATTTCTATTAGTTATGAACGTGTTATTCAGCTGTTGCCAAAGCACACTCAGCCGTAGGTTACAGGATTGCATTTTTTTTTTACTGTATAGCAATGACATCATGCTCAGAATTAACTAAATTAATTACGTTAACTAAATTGTTATCTTGCCACAGGTGGATGCAATCCATGTAAGGCTCAGCAGTTACCAGGAGAAAACCTTTGGCTCTGAGAAGCATGAAGAATGGATGGAATTTCATTTTGAAGATGGGGATTGTTTCTGTTCACTAACTTGTCCAGCTTTTGTCTATTGATGTGCATTCAGGCGTATGTTATGGGGTTAGAGGGTTGATGTTGATGCCTTTGGTTTACTCTTTTCAAAGCAATAGGACAGGAAGGCAGCAGTTAGTATTAGAGAAGCAGAACCAATTGAATATCAGTCTTTTGTGCTGTTAGAACCTTGCTGCTTCCACTTAACATTTGGTGATGGATCTTCCTTCTTTCTTTCATTCTTTTTTTAATGTTATGGCTGATGCCAAAGTGTAATACTAAATACTAATGCTGTTAGAAAAACTATTAAGCATTTGCCAGTGCTTAATCTAGAGTAACAGCTCTTAATTATGTTGTTTTAACTTTTCAATCATGATTTTTCTGATAGGACATGACTGTTTGCCTGGCAGACTGAGGTAGATTTCTGTTTTACTGTCTGGAATAGTTCCATTGAATCTCTCCATCTGCTTTGTCATAAGGAAGTTGTTTAGTAACATCAGTCAGTGTTTGCAATCATAAATATAGCTTGGTCTAGTGCCTGGGGCCATCTGACATCTAGACAGAATTAGGTCACTTCATTCAAATTAGAATCAATGCTAATTATTTAAAAATCTTCAGAATTTCACTGGTAATTGAGCTGAGATTTCTGTAATACTCAAACCCAGACTGTAAATCTGAAGCCCCATTTTCAGTGCAGGCTGTGTGAATGCAGCACGAATACTCAAAGCGTTCATCAATTTTTTTTTTACTGCGATAAACTATGACTGCTGATTTAAACAACTTGTGCTCTGTTAATCTATTGAAAATGTCATACAATAACATTACATTTGAATTTTGTTTATTGCTTTGTGTTTAAACTACCAAATATTATGTACTCTCACTCACTTGCTTAAGAATATTGTATTATGGCTGATAGTCATTACAAAGTGTTTTTAACAAGAAACAATTCACCGGCAGTCATCAGATAAAACACTCTTAGAAAAACAGTACTAAACAGTCACTGGGGCAGTTCACCTCCTGTCATTGGGGTGGTAGTCTTAAGGGTATAGCTTCAGTACCTTTAGTTACGGATCATAATTGCACCAAAATCCATTGAAATTATGTAATTTTTAAGTTGTACACTCAAAAAAATGATTTATGGCCATCATAAACATCAAGCAAATATTTTACATAAAACTTATTTAAAAAACATAAAAATACACTTTACTTATTTAGATTCATTAGAAGCAAGGATAAATCCAAAACTGATTTAACTGAATTAGGGAGATTCACTCGAAAGAGGCCCCCAAATATTCTGTTGTAACTCCCGTTAGGACGAAGCAGTCTGAACCAAAAAATACGCTACATGCCTTGACGTATGTGTAATCGATTGCATTACATGCAATGCTGGAAGTGATTCCCATTTTCTGCCAGACACATGAAGGGGTATGGGGGTATGCACCCGGAGGTTGCAAACGGAGGTTAAACGTCGCGACGGCTGTCCGGCGCCCACCTCATCGCTCCGACGCAGGGGCATCCCTACTTGTTCGAAGCTCCATATACTGAGGAGCACATTGCACATTGTTTCGTTCAGATTGCTTCATCCTAGTAAGAGTTATTCCAAAATATTCGGGGCCTCTTTCGAGTGAATCTCCCTGTATAAGACCTATTAGATTTTTCCACTAAATCTTATTAGGAGGCAGTGCACATCTGCAAAAGTAACAGGAAACACATCATCAACCAGGAAATTGCTTCAGCTGGCATGGTGGACATGAAATGGCTATTTTTATTTTTACAATTTCCTGCCATCCTTTGTTATACGGCGCAACTGCAATGAAATCGTGATGCGCATTAACTTAATTTGTGTTTTTAACATTTTGACCATATATTAATGTTTCATTTTGCTTATTTTGAGAGATACTCTAGGCAACACCAGCGAACTAGCTAGCTAGCATCCTTGCTAGGTCTGCTGTCATGTTAACGGGTACAAAAGGTAGATTAAATAAACAATGGGAGCGATTTATTGTGAAGCATAGTATATAGATATATTCCATTAATATTCAAATCAACAGTTCATGGTTTTTGTAACTGTAGGTGACCTTGACATATTAGCATGGCATCAAGTGACTGATAGCGTTAGCTAGCTAATATAAACATTTGCTTTAATGAGTAGTTAAGTTGTGAGTGAATAGAAATTCTAAACCAGGGAATTTGATCACAGCTGAAATATATAAAGTTATGTTTATTTCTTTCACATTAGACTTTTTTTACAATGTGTCTTGTAAGGAGCCTCAGCAAATACTGTTTAATACAGTTTGGACTACAACAAATGTTTGTGAATTTAATGTATTGCCATTTAATACATTTAGACAGTGTATGTAATTGTGCTGTGAATACAGAAGGTACTATTAACTCTTTAGAAATACATAAATGTTATGTAAAAGAATTGCATAAATCCTACAAGTACTTCTAATTTAAACGCTATTTAATTAATTCAGGTTTATTGAACATGACGGAGAAACATAAACTATGATACCATTTTTACATTGGACACTCAAAAAATATTTAAGCCCAAAAGTTAAAACTTATGTATTTTAACATGTCAATTTTCCATTCAATTTAAATACATAAATCCAAGGTAAAAATAAGTAAATTATATTTTAATGTTTTTTAAATTTTATTGGGCTTTTTTTTTAAACATTAGGTTATAAAAAGGTACAAATATACTTACACACTTATTTACGGTACACAGTTGGATCTTAAAACCAATATACCTTTTAGGGTACATTTGCATTGTTCGTACCTTGATGAACAAATATGTACCTGCACTGTACCTTTATTTCTGACGGTGTATAGACCACCCTGCTGTAAAAAATCATAGAAACCATTAAAAGATTCTGTTGGTTCCTGGTGGTGTCTAATAGCCACTAATACAGGATTCTAATAATGTAACAGGTGGGTTCTGGGATTGATTCCATATGCATTTGATGGTTTCCTAATTGGATCGACAGGTGTCTGGCAGGACACTGATCTCTAATGGCAACCATTAACCAATTCCCATTAGAAAGCAAAACCATGAGCTTTTAATGGTTCTAATGGTCTTTTTTAAGCGGGGCAGTGGTTCCCAACCCTGGTCCTGGAGTACCGCCTGCTCTTAACACACCTTACTGAACTTAACAAGCACTTCCCGAGTTGAAGTGGGTGTGGTCCAGCAGTAAAACACAAGAATGTGCAGGACATGTACTGCAGGATCAGAGTTGGGAACCACGAATGTAGCTTGTTTGTACTTGTGATTCTGCCAAAGACTAGAAAACTGTTATTTTGATGAACACTGTAGGATGAACAAGTATGCCATTCAGGGCCGTTGCTAAGCTAATTTCAAATAAATGTACTTTAAATGATCAATAGTTTTTTTCTTATTTATTCTTCACTATTCAGTCGTGTCACTGTATCTCCAAATTCACAATAAACGAAGTGGTAGGCCGCTAAGACCACGGGGACTCCTGCTGCTGTGATCCAGGGCTGCATTAGACCACTGTAGTCGTGTCGTCATTTTGTAGTCGGCGCCATGTTCTTATGCTCATATTAGGAACTCCGGGTCTAAGCTTCATTTCTCTATGGCCAGAATGAATAGTGTTTTTGAAAAATCGCCTCTATCGCACCCTGTGTTAAATAAAAATGTTAAGAACCAGATACGTTTTGTCCTGTGAACATTCTTTTCTCTAATACCACTGGATCCTCTGAATTATGAGGTCGTTAAAGAGTTGCTACATGTAAGCTAATGCTACTGTGCACTGAATTCACGTCATTAGACTGGCAGCCTCCTTAAGTGGGTATTGGCAGTGTACATTTCCATTTACAGACTGAGGGCAGATGAAAAGAAGTCAGAACAAAATCAGCAGGTTTCCCTGCAGTTCTCTATTCTTCATCTGATGCTCACTGAAACACGATAGATCTTTCCTTTTAGCTTGATTTGAAAAGATCTACAAATGTACCTGCACTCAGGCTAATCCAGTACAGACTCAGCTTAATATCACTGCTCACCCCTGATAAACTGATTTAGGCTCTCAGAATACCCTAATTATTATTTTAATGCTGGTAACATTTCTCTGAGGACATTTTCTCATGACATTCGCCAGCTTTTTGTTCGACTTTTTCTGTTCCACCTTAAATGGTGCAGCTGTCACGTTCTGAACTGCCGCGCCATTTAAGGTGGAACGGGAAAATTCGAACAAGCAGCCAGCGAAAAAGGAGCTGACTTGAGTTTCATTGAGGGTTGAAAGGCACGACATAAGGAGGTTTCACTATTAACGCTTAACAGCTGAGTAACATTAAATTATTTTTGCTGTTTCACTGAACTAACAGGTCAGTATTTTGTCTCGTTTGCTAATGTTTGTGATAGCTAGTCACAACTGCTGCACTATTTAACATGGAACGGGAACATTCAAACAAGAAGCTGCGAAAAAAGAAGCTAAATTCAGCCTCATAGTTTTAACACGGGTAGTATTTTTGATAAGGAGTTTTAGCCTATCAAAATATCCCACCCAGAGGTTTTATTTACAGGTATACCTGTAATCATGCGCTACAGTAGAACATTTCCATAAGGTAGCACAGCTCGTCAGAGCACCACCACAGCCCGCCTTAGTTTCGTGTAGCTTAGTGACATTAAATTGATGCGCAGTAATGGTAGCTTTAGCTCCCGTGTAGCAATATTAGTATTATAGCTCTTCATGACCTCGTAATTCGGAGGATCCAGTGGTATTCGGAAGAAAAATGTACACAGGACAAAACGTATCGGGTTCTTAACATTTTTATTTGACACAGGGTGCGATAGAGGCGATTTTTTGAAAACACATCATTCTGGCCATAGAGAAATGAAGCTTAGACCCGGAGTTCCTAACATGGGCATAACGAGGACTGCAGAATGACGCACGACTACAATTGTCTTTTGCTGCGGTGCACAGCAAGAGTAGAGGACCGTAGGGCTGTTCGATTCCAGAACATTTTTAGTCGACTCCGAATCCAATTCCTATGGGAAAAGGGAAACGGGAATCGATGGCCTCCACACAATCTCAGTTCCAAAATCAAGACATCTGGCAAAAATAAAAAGTATTGATAATATTTCTTCCTAGCAAGGAAATTTGGCGAGCTTTAATTAATTTAGCTGACTGATGATGACTGGCTAAACTGTATCTGATTCTTCTCTCACACCCGGTGTGCAGGTGCAGGCAAACGTGAACGTCACTGTGTGGAATCAAGTTCAAAGCTTTGGAATTGACTCCTTATTCTAGACTGCCTGCAACCACGGAATCAATTCGTTTAGAACAACTGCTAAAATTGACGGGATGTTGGCTGAAAGCTTACTAAGATAAACATTACGCAAAATCATATCATCATATTCAGGTTAAAACAGTAAGTAGTTACAGAATGAATATGAACAAAATGAATTTGTGGCTAACTACAGTCCGCTAGAGTTTTAACCCAGTTGTTACATGATACATAGCTAGCTAACCTAGCTATCTAGCTAGCTTTAGGTTCTTGTGAGGTAACGACAGAGAACTTGTAGAGAGGAGAATTACCACTCCGTTATGTCTTCCTGGTTT